GGCGCTTGGGAGGGGGGGGGGGGGAGGGGGGCATAATTTTTTTTTTTTTTTTTTTTTTTTTTTACCTTTTTTTTTTTTTTTTTTTTTTTTTCTCCCCTGGAGGAAGCATACAATGCAAATTTCCCCTATCTTATCTGCCTTGCCATAATCTGCGAACCCGGTGCAGCTCATTCTTGTCATGGTCAGTTCAGAGTGATATTTCAGTAGTTGTGTTGTAAAAACTTCAAATTGCCTTTGCCATCTGAGTCCTTGTGGATTTCTTCTCACGGATTCTTCTTCCTTCTGCTTCCTGAAGAAGTACATCCCTTCTTCCTTAATGTTTTAATTTTCATTTACTATGCCGAGATTTCTCATGAGGCACCAGAGACTCGATCTAATGCTTAAAAGTCCAAGTCTTTACTTTCACCTGACTGGATGTTGGATTAGGCACTAAAACTCAGGCTCCATCAGCCTACAGATTCATCCTTTCTACTGAAGGCAATACGGAGTATAGATACCCCACACTGACAATGAAGTAGGAAATATTATATGTAATAGGGAATAATCATATTTTACAGAATTGTCTTGAAAAAATATGCCAGTCTGTTTAAAAAAACAATAAAATAATCTTGAAACTGCGTGACAGATAAAATGTGCTGCATGTTACAACAGAAAAACTTCCATTTTTCCCAAGGAATTAAAATGATTTCTGGAAACAACACAGCAAATGTAGAAATAAGAGAAGCCCATGCAAGTAATTTGAATTTGAGCTTTGAGCAAATAAGCAAAATGTTGTCTTTTTGAAGCCTGTATCACAGAATCCATTGCTACACACATGAGCTACGTGTTGTAAATGATGGAGTTAAGAATGATTAATTTTAAAAGAAACAACGCTTGGTAATTGCTTAGTCATCTCCAGCCTGTAAAATTGGCTGCACAGCGTTGTCCGCCTTTGCACTTACTTTGCAGGTTTCCAGTCTGGTGGGTATTTCGGTCTCTGGGTACACAGAGTTTCTGTCTGAGCCGTAGCGGGTGTGCTGCCAGACCCGTGACGTGCTGTGAGCGTGGGGAGCTGGGAGAGGCTGCGTGCTCTCGGAAAGCCCAGGTGTGATGGGGCCCGTGGCCGCACCAAACTCTGCTCTCAAAGCGGAGGCGGATTCTTTGAATGCAAACTAGACTTCATCTCGCTGAGCTGGCTGCCCAGCGAGGGTCTGCCTAACTCTTTTCTTCAGGTAGAAGTGCTCTACTCTCTACTGAGTACTTCAGGTAGAAGTGCTCTCTACTGAGACTAAAACTGCTTTAAACATTAGTATTTTCTAACTAAATTCTGTTTCCAGCTGCTAATTCTAAAGCCTGTACTCATATTCCTTCTCTTAAAAGATGTTGTGAAGATCCTTGCTTCAGTCAGTGCTGCAAAATCATGTCCCGGTGCAAAGCTGGATGGCTGTTGTAAATTTATAACACACGCTTACTATGGAATGACAAATTGGCACTTTCTGTAACTCTTGTATGTATTTCATCCCTTGGAAGAGCTCAGTGTATGTGGAGAAGCATCAGTGAGAACCTAGGAGTAAAACTTTTAAGACTAGAGCTTCTGATTTCAAACTGAATCTGATATGCCTTAAAACTCAGTCTTAACATGGTTTTGAGTTAGATTTTGAATCATGGGGTAAATGCTATGGGGTTTTGCTATGTATCGCCACCAGTTTCTTCTTTCACAATGTCACCTTGTATCAGAAGAACCTGCTAAACCTTTAGCTGTGGACTCGGTGTGACTCTTCATTGGAGTTCACTGGTGGTCACTGCAACCTGCCTTCCCTCGTGTGCCTGGGCGATGTTGTGTCTCCTGGCAACAAGATGCAGATAGCAGCGTGTTGAACCTTGCTGAGAGGCTCGCAAACATGCTAGAACAGCTCATCGTTCACATGGTTACCGCATTATTTGGCTAAAGCTATTAATCTCTTGTGGTCAGACTAGCTTTGCAGGCCTATCTATACAGATTGCGTACAACAGGGAAATGTCCGTTCAGCAGTTTGCATGTCCAAGAAGGGCCCTGCAGAAGCCAGCCTGACAACCAGTGGGTGGTAGCTGTTTATTCCCCTTTGTTTTAAACACAGTTTATAGGGCACAACAAGTAATCTTTACAGTCTGCTTGCATAATATTGCCATTGTGTGCTGCTCCAAGAAAGTTGGGCCGGGCAAGAAGGTGTTGGGCTGTTTGCTTAATTGGAGAACAAGCTGTCAATTCAAATATGATATTCTTCAAGTTGCTTTTTATATAGTTCTATCCTCATCTCTATGTTATTGAGATGAGTAATGTTAAAATATACATTTAGTTGTTGTCTTTCACCGAAGGGAACATGATCTTAAAGTAGAAGAAGTGGTAAACTTTTGTTTAGTTACTTTTTGTAATACGACTGCCTCAGTCATTGCAATTTGGCCTCAAACTGAATATAAAATTTTTCATAAGTTGTTTATATTTTTGTTTTTGTAAGTCAATCAAGTATTTACAGCCAAATACAAAGCTCTCTAAACAAATGGGGGGAATATGAACTTAAGCAGGTTAAAATACTTAGAAGCACTTGGTTTTCTTCATATGTGTGAGGAGAGGCCCTGGAGAAGTTCCAGCTTGCAGCTAAGTGTTTGAGAGCCCTGCCAAGTGCTGCTTTCCAGCCTCATAGTACCCAAGTGGGGATATTTTAAGATGCTCTTTAGTAAGGGGAAATACTTGGCTGCAGAACTGAGCAGGTTTTCCCCACACACACACCTGTCCAATCATGCTTATGTTGCTTTTCAAAATAAGCAACATCATTACTGATTACATAAGGATTTGTTTAAAACAACTCTGTGATTCCTGACCCATCAGTTCTCCCTCCTTGGCTGAAAATTCCACCTTTTCCCTTGGCACAGAGACATTCCTGTGTACCATGGAAACTGCAGGGTCTGTTCACCTGTGTGTACCTCCCTGTATCCCAACTCTTGTGAAACAACACTTGCTCGTGGTTGCTTTGATTTGTTTTTTTTTGTTTGTTTGTAATTTCTGTAAGTTTTATGAAATGGGTCCTTTTAGCTGGAAGAGAAAGGCCAAAATGAAATGGCTCCAGTCAGGGAAAAGCAAGTGAGCTTCCAATGGTGCGTGTTCTTCCTGGGATCTAATTACTCAGTATACATGCATGGTTCTTGGATGAAGTCAAAGTAAATATTGTGTATTTCCCCAATGGCATATGGAGGCACCTGGGAAGGTAAATACAAAAGGTAAATACAAAAATAAATGTAGAGGAAACTAGTTTTCCTTTGTTCTTGTGTTCATGGGAAACTTGTTTCTCTCCTGCTGTTAGAATACATTGTATGATTTTAAATCATATAGAGCACAGTGGAAGCCTTTCAGTCATTGAAGGACTTCTGCAGGTTGTCTGACCAGTTGAATAGTTAAATTTCAGACGTTATCTTTCTGATCCTCACAGCTGCCACAGTGTATGAGGTAACTCATGCTATTGATAACACCAGATATGAGAAAACAGCTGAAATTCACCGTGCCTGGCGATTTTGTGTGTGGTGTTTCTTGAATATACACAGCTGAATGGTTTTGAACTTCTTTTAATTCCTTGCTAGAAGGAATGCAAGACAGAGACTCTAAATAAAAAGCACGTGAAGTGATTTTTAGAAGTGTTTGCCTTGTGCTTTATAATAAGGCACTTCAATGAATTCCTGCTTGCTCCACTTTATAGTATCATTTACATATGAAATAAAACTAATTGGCTTCTAGCTATACAAATCTAGGGAAGTTAGCAGTGTTACGTTGAGCTGCCGTAGGAATCGGCAGCCACTCGTGTATCCCTTTTCTTGTTTCACGTCAATAAACAGATTACAGTTTTGGAAACAGCTGTCACCTGGCTTCAGGTTGAGGTCAGTCTGTTCCCTGTGTACTGGCGGTAATAAAACAGCCCTTTCTGAAACAAAGATTTATAATTGGTGAAGCA